TAGCTAGCACTAAGGATTATTGGCTTAAAAAAGCAAACAAAATCAAAGACATTGTTTTTCCTGCCCAGATGTAGTACTGTGGCATTTTTACCAGGGATATTTGGAGGCGGGAAACTAAAGATAGCCAGCAAGCTTCGCAGTGCCAGAGATGGCAGTGGACCCTGTCTGGTAGGGTGAAAGTGCCCTCGGTCAGGTCTCTTTCAGTAAATGCCAGAGATGCAGAGAAAATCCTAGTGGAGACCGCCTCCCTGGTGCATGACTTGGGAACTCGCCTGTTTTCCACATCAGTGGGGACATAAGACATCGTTAAGCAGATGCTGCAAAGCATCCTTCCTGAGCCAGAGCGCTTAGCAGAATTAGGCCAGCTTTTGAATCATGTCTAGCTGTTACCTGTGACCTGCCCCACCCCTCTTGGACACATGGCCATGTCCCTCTAATCAGAATGGACACAGCACAGGCAAACTGGCCTTGTCTGGAGCTGTGGGGGCCTCTGCTTACATGTCCCATGACAGTAGTCCAAAAGAACAGACCCTGTACTAGAAACAGACGATATTAAGGACTAAATCTGGAAAAAACTTTCCTTTTTAATTGGCACTGGTCACTTGTGAGGTTAGCGCTTGTGCTGTAGATTTGGCGTGGCCTCTCGTTAGTCAGCCTCTGCCAGAATTGGGTTTCTCTTGTCTCCCTTCAGTGACGTATGTGCACACGTGCACAGACTGTAACATTGGATGCGCACAGAAGCGTCCCAGAGTTCCCTGAAAACTTGTCCTTCCATGGGTTCTGAGGTTTAAAAAAAAACCCCAGAAACTGGAACTATGAATTGTGGAAATTAAGAAAGCGGCATGTAAATTGATGACAATAAATAACGGTTTTTTAAAAAAGGAAAATCAAAGTGGAAAAGACCTGTTTTATTCCTGCATCCAAAGTCGATCCAAGACTGAAGTTAGCTTGCTGGAATAAATGCAGGGAATTTTTCAGAAGCTCACCTTTACCATCGGATTTCCGTTTTCATAGCCATTGCTCACCTTAGGGATGGCTTATTCCAGAGCAGTGGGCTGGGGACGGTGCTGGTCTTCAGAGGGTAAGGACAGAGCAGGTGATGGAAACAGAGGACCTATGTTAGTAAGGTTTAGATCCTTTCTGGGCCTTAGGGGTGAGCTGGAATGGTGGCGATAGGAGAGGGCAGAGGAGGCTTGGAAACGATGGTCCTGCCCAGGAAGGGTCGGCACAGAGGGGTGAGTGCAGGGGCAGGTGCGGCTGGTGACTTGGAAGAGCAGCCTGGGTGGTCGTGTGCAGAGAGGACAGGGCAGCCCACGCTCTGAGAGGGGGTTAGTGTGAGGGACAGTGCGATGACCGAGTCTGGAACTCATGACTGCAGGCTCGGGGCGCAGGTGAAAGAGCAGAAAGCGAAATCGGAAGTGGGCGTGATGCAGGTGGTGAGTCAGGCAAGTTCACCGAGAGCTTAGTTTACAATCAGCAGGTGGCCACAGCCAGTATTGGCAGCTGTTGGAACAGACTGAGAAGCTTCAAAAAGTGTGGGAAATGGAGTTTAAAAGAACAGATGTTTTGTGCACACTTTCTGAAGCCCCCTCCATTGCCCACCTCAGTCTGACTATCTCTTTCTCAATTAGAGCAAATAGAAGACACAGCCTTGCATCCGTGAGCATCTTAAGAAAAATCTAGGGTGAAGTGTCTGCTGTCTGCTCTGACCTTTGGTCTGTGCTTTCTGCCGTCCAGGGAGCCCACTCAGCCGCTGATCAGAGCCTGCCAGCTGTTCCCAGGAGAAAGACAGGGCTGTCTGCAGCCTTGGCCATCCTGGGTGGCAGCTCTGTTCTGTTCTGTAGGGTCACTGAGGGTCACTGCAGTGGGCTTTCCACAGTCCACTGCAGGAGCAAAGATGCAGGGGCTTCCAAAAGTATGTGGGGAAATTCCATTCTATTTTCGCTCCATTTTCAAAACCACACACCTTTGGAAGCGAAGCCCTGTGTTAGAAGCAGCCCTGTGCCACTGAGGGCACAGAGCAAGACCACAGTGGGTGAAACACTCAGTTTCCTTCCAATTCTGACCCCTGGTTTCTGCAGTCCACAGCAGGAGCGTCACTCTTGGCTAATGCCTCACCTCTGACTCTCATGACGTCACCTTTGTCTGTAACCAATCAAAACGTGGCTCCTTTTGGGATGCTGGGTGGCCTTGTTCCAGTGACCATGCCCTTCCAGTTTCCCCTGGAGCTCCTCGGCTTCGGAACGGACTCAGCTGGAGCAACAGCCACCTCGGGATCTACCTCAGCCGCCTTCCACCACAGCCTCACACAGAGTAAGTGGCCCTGGCGCTGCGGGGCACCCTGTGTGCCCGGGCGGGGCGAGCCCCTCACACTGGCAGCAGGTGTGAAGCCGGCGCAGTGAGTGAAGACACGGTTTTTTTGTGTCCCAAGCACCTGATTTTATCAGGCACATGATCAGTCAAATTCCTGGTGTCTGGGATTCCCTTTCGGTTTTTTTTTTTTTTTTCAATGACCCATATGTCCCCTCCATAATGGACTTTGTGCAGAGGGACCGTCACGGTTGTCCGGTGGTTTGCGTGCACATACTCACTCAGGCGCTGTGGGAGACAGTACTGCGGCCGGCTTCTGGAAAGATAACAGCTGGGAGGCCAGCTGGGGCCAGTTCTGGTCTATCCTGTGGGGCGGCGGCTAGTCGGAATCAGCTTGATGGCCACCTTTTTTTAACATACACACAGGAGCTTTAAAAAGTTCGTGGAAAACTTGCACTACCTTCTAATTCCACTTTTCCAGACTTTTTGAAGCCCCCTCGTGTGTACATCCCAGGTGTAAATCTACGTCGGGGCCGCACTCCCATTGGGGGCGCAGTGTGTGTGCCTGCAAGGGCCCCGCAGTCCTGCAGAGAGGGCACTGACTCATCTCTTCCCTCCTTCCAGATTTACTAAAGGGTTTACAGCCGGGAGCCCAGCACGCAGCGCCACTGGCCCACTCCCCACTGCCTGCCCACGCACAGCAGACGTTTCACGGTAAGAGCCGCAGGTGCCCACCGCCCAAGCCCAATAAGTTACAGCCCTCTACACTTCTGAAAAGTCTGCTAAGCAGGAGATGGTCGTGGGGAAGCACTCCTGTGAGCAACCGGCCTTCTGTGCCGGGTAGTCATGTCATAGCGCAGACCCGCATGGCACCCATGGTCCGTACTCTCACCGTAAGGCTTCTCTTCCCCGAGTGGGACTTTCCTTCCTGTGTCCCCGCTTGTACTCCCGGTGCCTTTGCAGCCCAGCTGGCTGGCTGTGGAAGTGGAGGTTAGTCGACAGGTGGGTAGGACAGGTTGAGTCTTAGTAACTTGAGGGTAGGTTTAGGTCCTTGCTGGCACTAGCAGGTAGTGGCTCTGCTGTCCCTGTGCCCTAGGGAGTGAGTGGGCCAGGCTCTGGTACGGGCTGAGGAGCAGCTCATCCGTGTGAACGTACTCACTGTGCCAGCACACTTCTCTGCAAGGACCAGATAGGAGATGTTTTCAGTCTCACAGGCTGTGTTCTTCCTTGGCAGCCGCTCAGAGCTTCCACTTCAGCGTGGCTGGGCCCCACCAAACCTGAATGATCGATATAAATTGTGTCCAGAGGAGCCTGGGGCTGTGATTTGCTGAATTCCAGGTTAAGGACTTTCACTGTCCAGTTTGTTTTTGTTTTGTTTTTTAAATTTTTTCTTTTTTTCACGGTCCAGTTTGTATAAAGGTGTTTTACTTTGTTAACCAAACCTTTGAGCAAAATCCCACTTAAAAACACCTTGCCATGTTGTTAATTTAACTTTACCTCAGAGCACAGGTGTCTGTGCTGCCTGCCTACAATAGTACAGATAGTACTGTCTACTGTTTACCACACTGGCTGCCAAACAGCCAGCTCATTAGATTTTCTCGTGGAAGTTGCTCTCCTGGCTGCCTGTGTTTGCACTTTGAAACAGTCGCCTTGTCTCTGTGGTGTACTTCTTTGTCTGTGGTTCCATGGCTGCAGCAGGCTCGGTGGCGTGTGTGGTCTCCCACACGTGGGCTCCGTGGTTGGCATCTGGTGGTCTGCGCCACTCCACCATTCATGCCTCGGCCTCAGATTCAGTCTGTGTCCCATCTCAGGCCCTTCCAGGGCTTGGCCTTAACTGCCTTTAAAAAAAAAAAACACCCACTAACCCCGAGCCAGTTCCCACCGGTGATCTTGTGTGGCAACACTGTCCTCTTAGCTTCTCGCCACCCTGGGCTTTGCCCATAACCTAACCCAAACCCACTGCCTTCCAGGAGATTGTGACCCACGGTGACCCTGGAGAACAAAGTAGAGCTTCCTCTGTGGTTTCTGAGCCTGGAGCTCTCTGTGAGGGTAGAGCCTCCACCAACCCGTGCTTCCCAGACACCGAATGGCTCATCTTCCCTGCTACACCAGGCAAGGGCCAGGCACGGACTCAGCTGGGCCTTATTTACATAAGCGATTAAGAATTAATTGCCTAGTGTGACTGGAGGAAAGAAAGTAACAGGAAATAGAGGAAAGAACCAGGAGGCAAAAGATATTTATAGAGTTATAAATACAGGCATGCATATATGTAAACATATTAATATATAACAACAGATATAGGTCTGTGTACATTTTTTTTATATGTTAAGTATTACCCAAAAAAAAGTATTACAGTAGTAGATGGACCTTGGGCCTCTACTTAAGTCCTCCCTCAATGCAAGAACACTTTATTCTAATACCCTAGCACTCTATGATGCTCACTTTCTCGACACAATTACTGAAAGCAAAACGCGTGCATAAGCAAATGTGGTGAAAAAAGCTGACGGTGCTTGGCTATGACAAGATTTAGTGTCTGGGGTCTTAAAGACTTGAAGTTAAACAAGCGGCCATCTAGCAGGGAAGCAACAAAACCCACATGGAAGAAGCACACCAGCCTGTGTGATCATGAGGTGTCAACGGGATCAGGTATCAGGCTTCAGAAGACCCAAAACAAGTATTCATACCGATGCGAATGAGCAGAGACCCAAAGCGCACCTGTGGACGATTGGACATCTCCTCACAGGGGGGTCACAAGGAAGGCAGGATATCACTGACAAAATACACACATTCCTCTAGTTCTTTAATGTTTCCTACTTGCCACTGTCATGACCCCAGTTCTATGTTATAATCCGGTTAACCGGAGAATGTGCCTGGGCACGCATATGAGCTCTTGACCCACAGAATCCAGGACAGCCAAACCCCGCAGGACATGTAAAGGGAATAGTGATGCCACGAGGGTAGGGCGAGAAAGGGGGAACCGATCACAATGATTGACCTATAACACACGTACCACTCCCCACCCCCGACAGAGACGAACAGCAAAGTGGGTGAAGGGAGACAGAAGATGGTGTAAGATATGAAAATAAAAATAATTTCAAATTTATCAAGGGCTCATGAGGATGGGAGAGGGAGGGGGATAAAAAAAGGAACTGATACCAAGGGTTCGAGTAGAAAGAAAATGTTTTGGAAATGATGATGGTAACGTAAGTACAAATGTGCTTGACACAACTGATGTATGGATTGTTCTAAAAGCCCCCCATAAAATGATTTATTTTATTAAAAATTGTCAGTGCTGTGGTAAGGAAGTTGATTCCACGTGCAAGAAATGGGGGTTCACCTGCCTTCCAAAGACACAGGTCCCTTGCAGATGGGCGTTGGCGCTCTGGCTCCTTCACCGTCCTCACCACACTGCACCTTTGGTGGGAGGCCCAGTGAGCGGCTCTCTGAGGGAGGGGCTCCTGTGGTGGCATCTGTCTCCGCCGTCTCCACGTGTGCTCATCAGCAGTAAACGCAGGTGACCCCGCCACATCCTCCATCGGAGCTGGCTGCTGTGCTGCTTGCTGCCCCTCCCTATCCACCATTTGTCTTTCTCAGATGGAGGCCAAAGTAAAGGAGACACTAAGCTACCGCGGAAATCTCAGTGACGTCCCAGCGAGCAGAGGGCAGGCGGCACTGGACTGGCTGGTGGGCGCTACCTGAAGGGGCTGCTGCAGCTGCTGCTGTCGGTGTTTACATTCTCCCGTCCTGAGCACTGTGGTGAGGAGGACACACGCAGGCGGCCGATCGGTGCCAGGTGCCGGAGGAAGAGCGGCCTCCCTCCGTGCAGTCTGGGTCCTCTGCGTCTTCTCAAGAGAGGTCCAGTTACCACACAGACTGGTGGAAAGAGACTGGGCGGTCAACCCCACAGAAGTTCAAGTTTGCCTCTCCCAGGGGCGGAAGAGGAAAGGGAGAGGATGGGTGGGCACTCTTCGTGCCAGGGCTTGGATCTTGGCACTCGCAGATGAGCCCTGGGGTGAGGCCCGTGGGTCACGAGCAGTGGGCCTGTCTGAGTGCGCTGTGCAGCGCATCTGCCACGTGAACAATTAGCGACCCCCCATCTGATCTTAGACGGCACTCCCCAGAATTCCTGTGCAGACTTGAAGCTACTTCCCCAGGTGCCGCAGAGCGGGGGGTGGGGGGTGGGGGGTTCCCCGGGGGGACACCCAGCACAGTGTCGTGGTTACTGAGCTGCCTCCGTGTCTGAGGTCAGACAAAACCTAGATGACCCCTTCCTGCCGGGCTCCATCGCATCTTCCCCTCAGAAGGGGCACTTCCCCCTCTTGTACCAGTCAGGTGTGTGTCTGCTGGCGACGGTCAGGAGCCCCATCCGCAAGCTTCACACACGTCGCATCTACACCTTTCTCTTGAGACGGCGATCCTTTGCTTCAGGGCCGGGCTTGGGTGCTCTGAGCCCTCGCAGCCCAGCCAGCACCATCGGTGGGGGCCGCCTCCCTCGGACCCCTCAGCACACAGCCGCAGCCACTGCTCTGTGAGCGCTCGGCACACTGCACACACTGCGTCCGCAGTTTGAATCCTCAAGGTGGAATTTAAAGGGAGGAGTTACCGTAGGATGAAGAGATTATTTTTGTAACCGTCACAGCATAGTTTGCTGCACACCCGTGTGGCAAAGATCAGCGCCGTTAGAAATCTCACAGCTTTACTGACGTTAGTATGAATGTCGGCTCTGCGTCCTCCGGACAACTGGGAGGGGCTTGTTCTGTTGAAAGGGGTTTTGTTTGCTCATTCACTTTGTCCTCCTCCTCTTCTCCCTAGTTCCTCCCCTTCTCTCTGTCTAGATTTAGGGGTGAACGTTTCGCTGGGTCCCTGTGTAAAGACAGGCTGCCCCAACAGCAGCCGAGACAGGAACAAAACCTGCTCTGCACCAAGCTTGTCACAGCCAGGGTTCCCGGTGTGTTCTCACCACACGTCACCCGTGCCACTAAGTTCATGGAAATAAAAGTATTTATTTGATACTTTTTTTCTGTTGTAAACAGAAGTCCCAGGTAACTGGGACTGAGTGACTTTCCACGGATCTGTTTGGATCCCTCTGCCTTTACTTTGCCTTCAAAGTCAAGTTGGCTAGCAAATAACTGAAAACTGTAGTTCCAAGAACTTGTTACAGTAAAAGGAAGGGGTTATTTCAAAGGAATTGTGGCTATAATTCCTTGCAGCTAACAGTTTAGCTTACCAGTGAAACAGGTATGTGTGGCCGACAGGTGGTAGGATCCAGCTTTGACTTGCATTGGGCGGGTCTGATGAAGGCTTTGGTGTTAGCTTGTTTTTAATTAGGGAAGCTTGGCAGTTACTGGTTTATTCTAGCGGAGTGGCCCTCTGTGTTAGTGTGACCGGAGAGAAGTCAGGTCTTTCCTGAGCGCTTAATGTTAACCTGTCAGCCTGCTGATCATTGTGCATGCACACACACACATAGGTAGAGTGTGTGCGCGCACATGTATATGTATATAGGTAAACGCATTATGGATTCAAATCTAGAAATGGAATTGATTTCTTAGCCCACCGATCCCGAATCATGCAGATCCCTACTGACTCCTTTCCTTGTTATTTAGGAAAACACCTGATGAACTGCCCCGCCCCGCCCTGCCCCCCACATTGTAGTTGTCCGGGGTCTGGCTCTGAGAAGTCCCCGTGAGTGGAGCTGATGTCTTTCCTGGCTTAAGGTCCTGATGCCTGAGAGCTCCTGCCTGGCCCGAGCCCACCCCGGCCTCTCCATCCCAGAGCAAGACCCAGCGTGGCTGGAGCAGGTGCCAGTAGGAAATCCTTTCTCCCTCAACATCGACACGCCGCATCTGCTCATGGGCACCTCTCTCCACTGGTTTCCTCACTGGAAAACACGTGAAGACGGGTTCTCTTTTGCACGTACTTGCGATTCCCGCTGTCTTTTTGCACTTAAAAATAAAAGTCCAGCCGTGTTCTTGAGTAAGATGGCGGTAGCTTCCAGCTTTCTAAGGCCAGAGCGATGCGTGCTTCTGAACAGCACTAGCCCCGCGCCAGGCAGAAGCCCTGGCACAGCCCTCAGTGTCGGGACTCTTGATTCAGGAAGATTGAGCCGTTCGTTCTCAACTGTCTGTGTTTCACACTGCCTTCGCGTGATAGCAGCTTTTACTGTACATGCACATTACTCCTCAGTATTCATAAGCAATAACGGGCCTCGAGCTGTCCCCAGAGATGCTGCCAGGTCGCAGGCAGACTGTCAGCGGCCAAGTGTCAAGCCCGTTCAGAGCCTCCAAAGTGAATGCAAGCAATAAGGCTCCGCACACATCGAAGCGGTCGCTCTTCCTGCCTCTGCCACCGGAGGGCTCTAACCACACCGGCAGGAGCCTCAGCCAGGCCCAGGAAAACGGGGCGTGGGGAAGAAGCTGACCCCTCTAGACACAGGCTGGTCTCCTCTGAGGACATCCTAGGGTCAAGTTGGCACATCCTTTTGTGGGTGCCACCCCTTCGATAGATGTTGGGATCCCAAGCAGCATTGTCCCCTCTCAGACATCCCATCGGGCTTGTGGTAGCAGTATGGGGAGGGGAAGAACTTGTTTGAAGACTGCATTGGACGCCTGTTTGGAAACAGTATATTGGGAATTATTTTGACCCAGGATATAGCTCCCCCCAAAAAAGGGGGGGGCATTTTTTTTTTTTTGCTTTCATATCTAGTGTTTACATCCAGGGTTAGGAAGTGCAGACGTCCTGCTCTCCTCAGATCATCCTTTACCACAGCCCGCCCACCAACCTCGGGGCAGAACGTCTTCTGAAAGTTCTGCTGGTCATTCAAACTGGCCAGCAGAGAAGAAGGCCCTGTCCCAGAGTGTCCCTGTTGCCCCCGTGCTCTCCGCCACGTCAGCGTGACGAGCTCTGGTGGGCGGCGGACCTCCCTCTCTGTTCCCAAGCACTGAGCCCGCCCCTTGTTGGACTGGTGCGTGCAGTTTGGGCACTTTATTTTAGGAGTGTACCACAGAGGTACACTGGCCCCTGCATTCTGGTCCGTGTCGGCGTTGCATTTCTGTGTTTATTTTTGTTTTTTTGTGTTGGAGGTAGAAGGACGAGGAAAACAAACCTGTCAATCATCAGGGCAAACCTGAGAACGTCCCTGGGCTTCAGCGCTGCGTCTCCTAATGTTCTGCTCCCAGGGGGCACTTTGACTTCGGTTTGGCTAGTGTGGTGGGTTTTGTTTGCTTGCTTGATTTTTGTTTTAGCCGAGAGGGCTTTTGTTTTTGTAACGAAGCCGAAAACTAATAAGAATATGTTATGCAATTTTATTTATGAAACTTTGAGGGGGAAAGTCCAACTCTTTGTAAGTCATTTCATAGCTCTGGTAAATGCAGGCCTTTGTCTTAAGTGCCTTTTTCTTTCTTTGGCCCCCTCCTTTCGAAGTAGTTCTCAGATACCCTAAAGTCCAGACCAGTGGGTCAGGGACTCGGGAGGAAGAATCTCAAGCTTGCCAATATTGCACTGTGGTGCCCTGCACACATGTGTGCTGTATGGTGTGCTCTGTGTGTGATGGATAGATGACGGTCGCTGCCGTGTTTGCAGAACTCCCGCACTTCTTCCATGGCTTTAGTTCCTTGAAATGGGCAGTGGGGAGACTGCCATCCTAGAGCCCGCCATCCCCTGCATTTCAGGACCTGTTGGTATGAGTGGGCAGGACACACGCACACAGATAGGCACGTGTGTTTAAAATGAGGGTCGCTGTGAGTTGGAATCGGACTGAGTGGAGTGAGTGGGCAGAGAGCAAGCCACTTGTTACAGAAAACCACTCGAGTAGACAGACTTCTTGGCTGTTGGGGCTGTCACCCACTGTCCTGTGGCCTCGAGGTTGCACACGTCCTCTAAGAGAAAGCATTGCGAGAGCAGTGGTCTGTCGTGCACCTGGCTGCTTTGGGCACTGGGCTGGGCAATGGTCAGGATGACGGTGTGCAGGAAACTGGCAGCGTGGTCATTCAAGGTGCCTCCCGCTTCCTTCCAGCAAGTGCGGGTGCTGCTCAGGCCTGCTCCAAGGCTGTGAGCAGTTAGCCCGAGGGAGGAGGACTGCAGACCCCGAGGAGGCTGTCCTGCACCGACACTCGGAGCCTGGCTCCCTTCCGTGAGCAAACTAACCTGGCTCGGCATGCAGGAGTTCCTGGTTTCTTGTTGACAACAAGCAGATGGGACACGGCAAGGGCACCCAAAAGGAGCCAGCCATCCAGACCCAGTGCAAGTCTATCTCAGGCCTGTCCCCTTGTCATAGCATTGTCTTTGGGAAGAGGAAGCTGGTGGCCCCGAAGGAAGAAGCAGAGCTCCTGGCAGTGACACCTGCTAGAGTCGGGTCACTGCCTCACTTGGACTTCTGGACTCTGTGTCCCTCGAGAGCGCCATGCAACCTCCGTGCCTCAGGCTCCCATCAGAGCAGTGGCGATAAGAGTGCTCACCTACCTCCTGGGGATCTCAGAGACTTTACTATTTGAGAGTTTTTTAATAGATGCCCTATATAATTAAAAATAGCATTATCATATTCTTACAGAGATTAAAAATGTTTCCCTTGCCCTGAAGTTTTAAAAAGAGTCACTGGAATTCTCATTCAGAAACACATTTGTTGTTTAAGCGGGTGCTGTGTGTGATATGGTCCGGTGGCTGTGGGTGGGAGCACCCCTGCGCTTGCGGGTTGACAGCTGGCTGGTGTCCCCGTCTTGCCAGGTGGCTTGTCTGGCACCCGTGCAGCAGAATAGCTGAGGGACTGCTTCCTGGAGACGGTGGTGAGCCTGACATTTAGCTGCCGGCCTTTCCAGCTCCTCAGCCCGATCTCCTTAAATCCCTTTTGGGAATGGACCACTGACACTCAGGAGAAACGGGGGTCTCCGTGCTGCTGTGAGTCAGGCGGGCACTGTACACGGTCTGGGGCACAGGTTTCTACCCCGACAGAGGTGGGGGTGGCTGGGGACGGCCTTGTTAGCTGGTGCTGCGTGCAGAGCACCTGTCCTTGGGTGTGCGTTTCTGGGTTGCAGTGTGGTGCGTTTCCAGGCTTGGAGGTGAGCAGGTGAATGACTGCCAGCTCCCAGGCTTCAGAGGAAGCAGCAGGCAGGTGCAGCTGGGGTTGAACTGGCCCAGTTCTTCTCTGGTGATACAGTTGCTTT